CATGGGAGGGAAAATGGCCGCGTATCCTGTTCGTACCCCGAGGCGGAGTTCGCAAACCGAGTTAAGTTTTTGCGGCCGGAGCTGGTCGTAACCCGAAAAGTTCATTAACAGAGGCGTTCGTAACCCGAGGTACCACTGTACTTCTATTCCCTGCCATAATTTTATTTATTTGTTTGTTTGTTTATATGTCATATTTATATAGCTGCCCATCTCACAGGTTCATTACTCTGGGAGGCCTACAATAAAAAAGAAATCATAAAAAAACATAAAAAATTGAGCAATTAAATCACCAATTAAAATGACCAATAATGGAGTAGCAGAGAGAGTTATTGTCATGGGCAAAAAAGCGATCTCACTGATTCACTAATTTATAGCCAACTTCTTTCAAGAGGTGTGCAAATAATTCCCAGTTGCTCCAAGCACAGCCATTATATTTATTTATTTAAAATAAAGGTGTCTTTTCAAAAAAGCTAATATCAATAAATGGGCAGAGAATTATTAAAGTTATGTGATTAATGCTCAATATGACATTAATAAAAGATAAACCATGCCAAGCAAAGTGCATTGAGTTGTTTTTATAATATAAAAAGAAGTATGATATTTTTTTTAGCTTAACACCCAAATCTACACTGTATTGCAAGCTCGGTTTTCACTTGATTTTACTAATTCCAGTAAAATGGAGCCTGCACAAAAATACAAATTCTTTTTTTGGGACCTCTGTTCTGCATAACTGTCAGTTCCTAGCATGCTTACTTTTGCAAGCGTTCTCCTCCAGAATACATTATCATACAGACTTAGCACATATTCTGAACTGGGGACCATGTTCAAAATTTTTAGAAGTGCAGATTTTGGCATTCAGGTGTGTTCTGGTTCATCGCAAGGTTTGAAAAGTGAACATTTGGTAATTCTGTTTGCATATAAAGTCAGCTGGAAGAAAGGTTTCTCGGTCAAATTAATAGGTGTGTCTATTCAAAGCTTCCCAAACTTCGCCCTAAATTTAATCCGTGCCCCCTTCTCAAAATCAGATTTATAGTATGCCAGCCAATTTGGTGCAGTGGTTAAGGCATCGGGCTAGAAACCAGGAGACTGTGAGTTCTAATCCTACCTTAGGTACAAAGCCAGCTGGGTGACCTTGGGCCAGAACCTCTCTCTCAGCCCTAAGAAGGAGGCAATGGCAAACCACTCCCAAAAAGCCTTGCCAAGAAAACTGCAGGGACTTGTCCAGGCAGTCGCCAGGAGTCAAGACAGGCACCAAAAAAACAAAAACACCTAATAGAAAGGTCAATGCCCCCTACCTTGGCACAGTGCCATGAGACAAAAAAAGGGATCTTACATTTAATGTTGAGTGTGAAGTTTGCAAAAGCTACTTCATCCCGTTCTTTAATGGCTGCCACGCAAATGTAAACACCAGCATCTGATAACCGGGCGTTCTGTATCAGCAGTGTCCCATTTTCAAAATAGATTTGCCCTGTAAACCCAAAAGAAATTGCTGTGATAATTAAACCTGTCTCTAGCATGGCTTGCAGTCTTGGGGCTAAATGCAGCCCATCAAACTGTATGTAACTACAACTAATTAGAAACAATAACAAGTTTCTTCCATTTTGAGGCCCAAAATACACAAAAACTATATAACGTATGTGCTTTCTGGACTCATTTCAGATAGGTTTCAGGCTTAGGCATGGGGTGGGATTGGTCATGCTTGTGGATGACCTATGGCAGAACTTGGATTGGGGGTGAGCAACCCTACTTCCTTGCTCCTGAAGTCACTGATCTTCTGGATTATCTGTGAGGTTCAGAAGTAGGGGACGCCATTTTTGCAGTGATTCACCCCCGACTCAGTGACTTCAGTCAGCATGTGTAAGGAAGCAGAAGTAGGGCCCTCAGTGTAGAGAAGCACAGAGATGGCCTTGAAGATGGTATTCAGTGACTGTTATGTAAACATCGATTTAGCCTGGATAGACAGGAGAGGGTGAAGAAAAAACTCAAGATTGCCCGGCTTTGATTCTCTTTCATATAAGACAGGAAAGGGAGCATATCAGACTTTCAAAATGCTGTTATTACACTCTGTAACAATAGAGTTCATGGGTGTCTGTTTCCGGACCTGGTCTACCTGAAAGGGCTGACTCTCAGACCATCCAATATGGAGTGCCCCAGGGCTCAATCCTTTCCCTATTTCATTTAGCATTTACATGGAGATGTTGGGGGAGATCATCTGATGGCACAGGGATTGGTGGCATCAATAGATTGGTGATGCCAAACTATATATCTCCAGCGTGGGCCAAATGTGTAATGTGGTAGTATTCTTGTCTCCATCTGCATCTGGATGGGGAGAAGTGGAGTACAAATAATGAAATAAATAAAAATTGGCTAAAAGTTTTTAGAAGGAAGAAGAAGAGGAAGAGCCAAATTCCATCCTCTCAAATATGGGGAAATGTAGAAAATCTTGGTTTCACGTATATAACATGGCCCTGGACACTTTGCATCTTTATCCCTGTCAGAATCCTCGCAAACTTTTATTAAGAAATATTATTCAAGCTATTGCCTGCTTGCTTTTCACGTGCTTTGTACTTGCTACGGTTCTGCCATGGGGGAAGGGAAATGGATGGAAGGCGGTCAGAGGCAGATGGGCTCTTATCACAAGGCCTGGAATGCTCAAGGCCATACCAACGGGAGAATATGAGGAGGCTAAGAAGGCAGGGGGGTGAAGGAGAGAAAAAGGGTAAAAACAACTTTTGGCATGCACAGGCTCAGTCTTAGCAATGCTTTGGAACTGTACACTTGTTCTCAATAAATGAACTT